CGTACACCCCTTTTAAAATGAAAATAAATGGCTTTTATCAAAACTCGCGAACATTTTTTAAGTAAATCGGGTATGCTCTATCGAATGGTGATATTTTCAACTTTTGATTCCGACCGGAAATACGCCATCCGGACCGGAAGTTGAATTTTTTGAGGGGAACATAGTACTTTTTATTACAGATTCGAATTGTACGTGAAAAAATAAGAAACTTTTGTATCAAACGTTTTTTCTGAAAGTGCCTCTGTCAACCTTAAAATTGACCTTGAAAGTAACTGTGATGAAATTATGAATTTTAAATGTTCCTGTGGCGTAACTAATGACAAAGATGTGTGTGTGCTTGCGTTCGTGTGTGCGAACGTTCATAAGGTACCGTACATGCAGGCACACATACATCCTTGTCATTAGTTACGCCACAGGTACATTTGAAGGTCATAATTTCATCACAGTTACTTTCAAGGTCAATTTTAAGGTTGACAGAGGCACTTTCAGAAAAAACGTTTGATATAAAAATTTCTTATTTTTTCACGTGCAATTCAAATCTGTAATAAAAAGTACGGTAAATCTAGCGAATAGGGGACCCAGCCCCAATGACCTTGACCTTGACATATGTTGTTAAGGACATAATTCTGAGTAACTTTTTCTTCTAATTTAATCGTCGCTCGTGGCTTATTAAAAAGTTATTAACAAAAAAAGTTTAAAATATATACCAAAGTACATGCACGGACAGGAAGTTTGAAATATACAAAAGTACATGCATGGACAGGAAGCACGCACACACACACACATACGGGAGGTGCAATGTAGCATGTACTTTGTAAGTTGTAAAGCGAGGTCCACCCTGCCTACCGGCGGAGTGAGTGCGGGAGGGAGGCCGAAGGCCCCCCCCCGTGTGTGTGTGTGTGCGCGCGCGCGCACGCGCGTGCTTCCTGTCCGTGCATGCACTTTGGTATATTTCAAACTTTTTTTGTTAATAACTTTTTAATAAGCAACGAGCGACGATTAAATTAGAAGAAAAAGTTACTCAGAATTATGTCCTTGATAATATATGTCAAGGTCAAGGTCATTGGGGTTGGGTCCCCTATTCGCTATATTTACCAAAAGTACTATGTTTCCCTCAAAAAATTCAACTTCCGGTCCGGATGGCGTATTTCCGGTCTGAATCAAAAGTTGAAAATATCACCATTCGATAGAGTATACCCGATTTACTTAAAAAATGTTCGCGAGTTTTGATAAAAGCCATTTATTTTCATTTTAAAAGGGGTGTACGGGTGGTCTGGGACACCCTGTATATATGTAAATATATTATACATATAATTTTAATCGTATATGTAAATGTTTATATATTTTTGTAATATAAATTTATAAACATTTACAATATTATATATTTATCTTAATCATGACAGAATAATAAATTTACAATATTCTGAATATTGAAAATAAGGAATGCTCCTCCATCGCCCATTTCCGTGAAAATGCAACCAAAATATTTTATTTATTATTTTCGTCTGTCCGATTATAATTTGCAAGCGAGATTGAGGCATCTTTTTTTGGTCAATATTATTACGAGGATAGATTTTTTTTTAATCATAATTTCTTATCATTTTAGAAAAGGCAGCAATTTATTGTTTGCTATAATTTTACAAAACTGTTTCCTCATATTCTTTACATCTTTGGAGTAT